AAAAAAAAAAAAAAAAGCAGGCAAGTTCACTGCCTTCCGGCAGCTTACCTTTTTTGAGTGGAGAAGAGACAGGCAATAAACCAGTAAACAAAGATAAGTTTATGAAAGCTCTGAATGAAATGGGGTGATTGAAAGTCACTGAGGGCTATCTTAGCTGTGATGGTTAAGGAAAGTTACATTTCTGTAGAGGCTTAAAGGATGGAGAGAGCATTCATGCAGGGAGAAGAAAAGAAAGGCCCCTGAAGTTGGAACACACTTAGCATCCTCAAGGAACAGAGAGGAGGACAATGTGGCCTGGGAGGGTGAATGAAGGGCAGTAGGTAGGGCGGTAGGCAAGGGATAGATCACATGGCACCCTATAGGCCATGATGAGGAGGTCAAATTTGTATCTAAGGATGTTACATATTCCTTGTAGGATTTAGGGCAGGGGTGTATCAAATCTAATTGATGTTAGAAAATACCATTCCAGGTGCTGTCCTCAGGGCACCTGGAATGGTATTGTAAGAAGGAAAGGGCAGGAGCATGGAAAGCAGAGAGGAGGCCACTACAGTTGACTAGGCCAGTGGTGATAGTGGCTCAGACTAGGGTGATGGACCCAGACAGAGAATTGGGACAAGTCAGGAGATACTTTGGAAATAAAGGTGATGGTTCTTGGTGATAAATTGACTGTGGCCTGGAAACTCAGGGGGAGGTGCCTCACCTCCAGGAAACTTGTGGATCTGGTAGCTGTTGACTTCCCGTGGCAGAGGTCCTGTCCTCAACACCAGGACCTGGCTGCGGTCATGTCCTGTGACCAGGAAACTCTGGGGGGTGGAGGCAAAGGTCAGCTTGATGAAGGTGTGTGCAGCAGATATCTATTACTTTTGCCTGCCTAGCACCATTTCCCTTATTTTGGGTTCTGTACCCATTTAGAGAAACCCTCTCCCTACTCTCAGGGCATGCAGGAGGGGTAGACCAACGACTTGACCTAGCCAGTAGGATGACTGTGCTCTCTGCCTACTGTTTGTTTCAGGGATGGGCATGTGATCCAAGCTCAGCCAATGGACATTTTCCATGGGATGACCCCCACCTCTTTTTTTTTTTTTTTGCAGTTTTTGGCCTGGGCTGGGTTTGAACCCACCACCTCCAGTATATGTGGCTGGGGCTCTACTCCTTTGAGTCACAGGCACTGCTATTTTATTTTATTTTATTTTTCTTTTTTTGAGACAGGAGCCTCAAGCTGTCACCCTGGGTAGAGTGCCGTGGCATCTCAGCTCACAGCAACCTCCAACTCCTGGGCTCAAGTGAGTCTCCTGCCTCTGCCTCCCAAGTAGCTGGGAC